TTAGGATACCAGTCTGTAAAATGATTTGAAAGGTGTGCAACACACAGCAGTAATGTTAGACTGACTGAAAATGAATGCAGCTCTTACACAACTCATGCAAAAGCAATGATTGGAGCTTTCTAAAGGACATGAGCATACTTTGCCAAGTTTAGCCCTGATTTAAAATAGCTTGAATTTTGCATAAACACCGAAGTGGTGCCTTATGTTTTTAATTTGGGAAAATCTGTGAACACAGAAACCGTTAAATGGTGTTACAGCACCCACAACCCCCTCAACTAGACCCCCGAGTCCCTTTTAATAACTTCTTCAATACAGCTTTAAATAATTTAGCTGTGGTCACACAGGGTAGACTTTTTTATCTCCACACTTTAAAGCACCACACTAACACACAGGGATGAAACAACTTCGCAATGCCTCATCATTCAGTTTTTATTTTAGCTATTTTGCAGCTGCATTGATGCAAATTATTAGCTAATCGAAAGCCAAAGAAAAGGTTAAAAAAATAATAATAATTGGAATTCTTTTACTCAGTCAGCCGTCTGAACGACTGCACAGTGGGGCAGACAGCGCCCCAGTCCACAGGCCTGCGGTACTCGCCTTTCTCCAGTAGGTACTGGCGGCCCTTGTAGTTGGGGTGCTCGTAGAAGACCCACCAGCCTCCCAGGACCCTGCAGGAGTGCACCTCTCTCCAGTGAAACGTCTCCAGCACAGAGGCGCAGTCCTCGCTCGCTTCAAACACCTGACCGGAGAAATCGGCTTTGCCATACAGCTGGATCTTGTAGGGGTCTCCAGGGGCCTGAGTGAAGCGGGATACAGAAGAAGACGGTAGGTAGAGGGGAGGGGGTTGGGAAAACAATGAAGCTAGGTTTGATTGATGTCACTACAAAATGCGTTGTTTCTTATCATGGATTTATTCCACCGATCCAGATTTCAAAATTCATTTATGTGAAAATGAAGTGGCGTTTTTAAAATGCTATAAAATTCCCCAATGTCCCCTGAGATGTGTAGGATCTTACACAGCCACTTTCCCACTAACCACAGTGTCTTTGACCTCTTGGTACGAGGCACCTGATGTGTTGAGATGGCTTACAAAGTGAATCATCTTGCAAGAGCTGACTCTGTCATTGAGGCCGTTCCAGCTGTGGTAGTTGGGGTATTCCCCTCTCTTCAGGACGTACTGGTAACCCAAGTAGTTTGGTCTCTCGTAGATCACCCAGGTCCCGCTCTCCACACGGGCCGAGTTGCAGCAACTCAGATAGGAGTGGAAGTCGGTGCAGTCGCTGTCGCATTCGTACCTGCGACCCTGGAAGTTCTTGTCCTCGTAGAAGATGATCTGGGGGATTGTATGTGAGTGATAACCTGGTATTAATGATTTTACATGCCAGATCTAAATGTTGTTCTACTCACCCTGCCCATCTTGGGACCGACTGTGCTTCACTGTTTAGCCTCCCTTGAAAAATCTACAATAATGTAGCGTGTATGTGCTCATATTGCCCTCTTTTATAGCTTCAGAGCGCTCTGAAACTCACACAATTGCTTGGTCATGAGAATGAGATCCAAAATTTGAGTCAGTGGTTCCACTGCTACTCGTGTTTTCCAGAAAGAGGCTGTGGGATTAGACCACATAAAGACCTCAGGCACTGACCAACTCTTTACAGAAAACTGTAAACATACTGCACACAGTGCGAACTACACACAC